TATATATATATATATATATATATATATATATATATATATATATATATATATATATATATATAATAATTATATGAAATGCTTAACGATTCTGTAATGTTTTTTTAATATGATTATTATACTTTTCTCTTTACAGATAAAATTGAAGGCCAAAGATGTGGAAGGCAACGACCACTTTAAGTGTTCTAGTGACGTTGGTCGCAACAAGACTTACAAGAGCTGGTGAGAACTATTGAAATATTTTCTTATGAATTTAAAACGACGACTTCATAAAAAACAAAATTCAGATATTCTGAAATTTAATGCGGTGCTGAAAGAATGAATAAGAAATTTATTCTCAAGAGATAAAATTAGCGATCTGTTACTACTTGTTTTTGCAATCTAAATTTTGAAATCAATCAACGGACAGAAAAAAATGGATTACATCTATCGAACCGACATCTTTTTTAATACTTTTTAACGATGATCTATTCGAGCTGTTGGGACTTTTGAATATTGCATGAATTTTAATTAATTCCTCAGTCACGAATCTTGGCGAAATCATTTGCCTTAACAAGATGATAAGACTGCCTGCTTTTGCGGCATGACCAATTACGGCTCCATAGATGTGGTTGTGTGTAAAACGCGTGCCTCAGGCGACGGATGTCTCTAGCATCTTTGCTCTAACCAGTTTTGATCATCGTGTTGTTATCGGTGTTGTTGTTGCTTGTTGTCAAACTGGTTTCATTCGCGGTACACGCAGCCTTGAAATATATGGACTAGAGTAGTACTAATGAAAGCCATCGCACACTTTTCATATTTTGCGACCAATTCGAACGACATCGTTTAGTCGACCGAAGATGAAAGTAGATTCGAATGCTAATTCAAGCTGTGTTGCTTGCAGACTATTACGACTATTACGACTATGGCCAAGGCCAATACAGACAGAGCACTGCCCCGTTCAAGTGCACGGAAGAAGGTTACCATCCCGATCCGCATGACTGCAGAGTTTACTACAGATGCGTGGATTGGGGCAACGGAAGCCCGATGACATCCTTCAGGTTCGAGTGCGGCGTTGGTACTGTATTTTCGAAGGAAAAAGGAGATGTTTGCGTTCATCCGTGGGACAGTGGTCGACCGGAATGCGCTGGATCGGAGAACGAAATCGATTCAAATCTAAACGGTCCTTCCGGGAGCTCTTCCACAACGATGAAAACGACCACGCAGCCGCAAGCAAGTATGACACAGACTCCAATAACTACGCGAGCACCTACGATTACAACACAAATTATGACGACAACAACAACAACCAGAAAGCCGGAAATGACGAATCGACCAACCACAGGCCAATCAGAGAGTAATGCTGATTGTAAAAATGGACCCATGTGTACGCAAGAAGGATATCTGGTCGATTCTTGCGACTGCAGAAAATTCTACAGATGCGTTGACGGGGGACAAAGCAAGTTGTTGAGATATGATTTCACATGTGGCGTAGGAACTGTTTGGGATCCAGAGATTCAAGGGTGCAATCATGCATGGGCCGTTACGAGAAAGGACTGTAAGCAAGGCTTGGAGAACGGCGACGGCGGTGGCGATAATAACGGACAATGGAATGGAGATAATAGTGGACAATGGGATGGAGATACGGGAGATAACGGCGGACAATGGAATGGCGATTCCGGAGATAATGGTGGACAATGGAATGGAGATACCGGTAATCCAGGCCAACCTGGCCAACCAGGACAACCAGGAGATCCTAATGGTCAACCAGGGCAACCAGGAGATCCTCATGGCCAACCAGGACAACCTGGAGATCCAAATGGACAACCTGGCCAACCAGGTACGCCTGGAGATCCAAATGGACAACCCGGCCAACCAGGTACGCCTGGTACTCCAGGTTCCCCGGGCTATCCAGGAACACCAGGTTCTCCTGGAGATCCAGGGACACCAGGAACACCAGGTAGTCCAGGATCACCCGGTTATCCAGGTACACCAGGCTCTCCAGGCACTCCAGGTACTCCTGGAAGGCCAGGAACACCAGGTTCCCCCGGTTCTTCGGGAACGCCAGGCTCTCCAGGCACTCCAGGTACTCCTGGAAGGCCAGGAACACCAGGTTCCCCCGGTTCTTCGGGAACGCCAGGCTCTCCAGGCACTCCTGGAAGTCCAGGAACACCAGGAACGCCAGGTAAACCAGGTTCTCCTGGTTACCCGGGAGCTTCAGGCTCTCCAGGCTCCCCAGGTACTCCTGGAACACCAGAAACACCAGGTAGTCCAGGATCACCCGGTTATCCAGGTACACCAGGCTCTCCAGGCACTCCAGGTACTCCTGGGAGGCCAGGAACACCAGGTTCCCCCGGTTCTCCGGGAACGCCAGGCTCTCCAGGCACTCCTGGAAGTCCAGGAACGCCAGGAACGGCAGGTAGACCAGGGTCACCCGGTTCTCCGGGAACACCGGGTTCACCAGGCACTCCTGGGAGTTCAGGAACACCAGGGACGCCAGGTAAACCAGGTTCACCAGGTTCTCCAGGAACACCAGAGTCATCAAGTACTCCTGGAAGTCCAGGAACACCAGGTACACCGGGTAGTCCGGGATCACCCGGTTACCCAGGAACCCCAGGCTCTCCAGGCACTCCTGGAAGTCCAGGAACACCAGGCACACCGGGATCACCCGGTTATCCAGGAACCCCGGATTCTCCAGGCACTCCTGGAAGTCCAGGAACACCAGGCACACCGGGATCACCCGGTTATCCAGGAACCCCAGGCTCTCCAGGCACTCCTGGAAGTCCAGGAACACCAGGCACACCGGGATCACCCGGTTATCCAGGAACCCCGGATTCTCCAGGCACTCCTGGAAGTCCAGGAACACCAGGCACACCGGGATCATCCGGTTATCCAGGAACCCCGGGTTCTCCAGGCACTCCTGGAAGTCCAGGAACACCAGGCACACCGGGATCACCCGGTTATCCAGGAACCCCGGGTTCTCCAGGCACTCCTGGAAGTCCAGGAACACCAGGCACACCGGGATCACCCGGTTATCCAGGAACCCCAGGCTCTCCAGGCACTCCTGGAAGTCCAGGAACACCAGGCACACCGGGATCACCCGGTTATCCAGGAACCCCGGATTCTCCAGGCACTCCTGGAAGTCCAGGAACACCAGGCACACCGGGATCATCCGGTTATCCAGGAACCCCGGGTTCTCCAGGCACTCCTGGAAGTCCAGGAACACCAGGCACACCGGGATCACCCGGTTATCCAGGAACCCCGGGTTCTCCAGGCACTCCTGGAAGTCCAGGAACACCAGGCACACCGGGATCACCCGGTTATCCAGGAACCCCGGGTTCTCCAGGCACTCCTGGAAGTCCAGGAACACCTGGCACACCGGGATCACCCGGTTATCCAGGAACGCCAGGCTCTCCAGGTACTCCTGGAAGTCCAGGAACACCAGGTACACCGGGCAGCCCGGGATCGCCCGGTTATCCAGGAACCCCAGGTTCTCCAGACACTCCTGGAAGTCCAGGCACCCCAGGCTCTCCAGGTAGTCCTGGAAGTCCAGGAACACCAGGCTCTCCAGGGACGCCAGGAGCACCTAGCAATCAACCAGGCACAGGTACAATAAAAAAAAACATTTTTGCAGGATAAATTTTATAAAGATAATTGGAGTATTTATTTAAAATCTTATTCTAGGTATTTGTACTGAAGAAGGCTTTTTCGGTGATCCGAAAGATTGCCACAAGTTTTATCGATGCGTTAGTGACGGCGCGACATTTACTAAGTACGAATTTCAATGTGGCGTTGGGACTGCCTGGGACTCATCCGTACAAAGTTGCAATCATGAGTATGCAGTGCCACATTGCAATCAGCAAAGTAATGTAGTGACGAACGAACCCGATACATCGCAAAATGAAGTAGATAGTACTAGTGGACCAGATACGTCTAAATATCCGTCAGTGCAGCCTCCCGAAGGTACCAACATTCCACCAACATCTTCAAAGCCCGCGTCTGAAGCTGCCGGTACTACGAGCAGACCCGAGACATCGAGTCAGACTTCGTCAGTCTCCTATTTGCCACCGGCAAGTAGTACATATCCACCTACATTCACACAATCTACCACGTCGGTTTCTTATCTGCCGCCCGCGACTCAAACAACTCAGACAACATCTGTGTCTTATTTGCCACCTGATACGTCTACAACTGTGAGACCTACGACGAGCGCTACCTCAAATCCTGTATCCTCTTCGCCTCAAGGTGGAGAATGCATTGAAGAAGGTTTCTTCCCCGATCCTGACGATTGCCGAAAATTCTATCGTTGCGTACAAAGCGATTCCGGATATCAGAAGCACGAGTTCCAATGTGGTCCGAGTACAGCATGGGATCAATCTATACAAACATGCAATCATATTGGACAAGTGTCCTCATGTTCCACGGAGAGCAATGAAATCGAAGGCCCCAGACCCAGTACCTCTAGTCCCGTGTCTCAGTCTCCTGCTACGAGCGGTTCTACAACAGCTACTTCTAGTCAAACCACTGCTATCACTTCATCATCCGCAGCTCCGACTTCTACGGAAAGCGTCACGATCGCCAGTACTCCGAGTGAAATATCTACGGAATCAATTACATCGGGAACAGATAAAACAGAATCTTCGGAAGCAACGACTGCGACTACTTCTACCAGCAGTAGTAACGAGAAACCTGCCTCAGAGAAACCGGAAGGAATTCAGATGCCTGACAGCTCCAGTACGGAGAGTTCGTCCGAGTCCTCGGAATCCTCCGAATCTTCACAATCATCTACTTCTGAGTCGTCGAGCGAAGGATCATCTTCCACACAGTCGCAAGCGCCTGATTGCACGACGAAAAAGCCAAATGACACGATAGTGTGCAACAATGAAGGCTTCTACCCACACCCAACCATGTGCGACAAGTTCTACCGTTGCGTCGACAACGGCAATGGCTACAACGTGTACCACTTCGACTGTCCGCCAGGAACTATCTTTGACTCTAGCATCAGCGTATGCAATTACCCTGAGTCCGTTTATCCTGCGAGAGATTGTACTACCTCGAGCAGCGCAGCCGCGGAATCGACAACTCAGCCCGGAACAGCGGAACAATCCACGTCGATGGAGTCTACTGCCGCGTCAAGTACGTCTCAACAGCCGGAAGAAAGCACGATCGCGTCCACCGAGTCCGCGTCTACAACTTCGTCCGAGGAAATCACTACTTCGGAGGAGAGCACCTCCGATTCCAGCACAGAATCGACGTCAGAGATGCCGCAGAGTACGGAAGACACGACGGAATCGACAACTGAGTCGACAACGGAATCAACCGCCGCCACCACCGAAGGCAGCACCGACTGCAGCACCTCCGGACAGAGTACTGAAGGCACAACTGAGATGTCCACGTCTTCTACGGGATCAACGGAATCCGAAACATCCACGACCGAGTCCCAAGAGCAATCCACGACGGAATCGCAAGAGCAATCCACGACGGAATCGCAAGAGCAATCCACGACGGAATCGCATGAGCAATCCACGACGGAATCACAGGAGCAATCGACCACGGAATCGCAGGAGCAATCGACCACCGAATCGCAAGAATCATCCACAACGGAATCTCAGTCGACGACGGAGTCTCAGGAACAATCGACGACCGAATCGGCCACAGAATCGACAACCGAGTCCGCAACCGGAGCAGCACCTTGCGCCATAGGCAATCTAACCGATGAGCAGATAACTCTAGTTTGCCCAACCGGCTTCCGAAGGCATCCTAAGTACTGCGATCTGTTCTACCAGTGCACCACCGAGAGCAACATGGAGATCAAGATTCTCGTGTTGGGTTGTCCCGAGAACACGATCTTTGACGAGAACAAGATTCAATGTCTGCCGGAGAGCAAGAGCAGTCAACCGTGCATGAGTAGCAAAGCTAGCGTCAGAATTTACAGAAGATCGGGGGAGAACGCGTTCGCACCTGTAAGTATTTTTAATCGAATAAGATATTCGCTCTGAATATCGCCAATTCTTTGAATTGGCTCTATATGACATGGCGTATATAACTTTGGCTACAAGTGCGGTAAACATCAATTATCAGCAACATACTATCAATTATTACTATTAATATACATCAGTTATTAGCATCAATACTATAATTTCAACAATATAAATATAATGCAATAAATGTGTTATGTAACATATTGTTGAGTGAAAAATTATAACATTGATGTAGTATTTCTGTTAGTTGATGTTTACTGAGAAGTGCCATACCAAATGCACTAATCTCATTTCTTTTCATTTGCATACATGTTTATAATTATATCTTGTAAAAATTTTTATATTGAATTTTTATATACTTTGATATGAATTTATATATTTTTATATTTGTGGCTAGATATATATATTCACACGGATTTGACTTTAGGTCTCGCAACGATCACATTTTTTTTTTACTTTCTCTTTCCTTCACTTTAGATGAAGGTGTCGTCGAACCAACTTTGCCCCGAAGAAGGGCACTTCCCTTATCGGCAAGGATGCAGCAACACCTTCTTCAAGTGCAAGCGCGATTCTCGGAACAGTTTACAGGGGTATCTCTACAAGTGCCCCGAGAACTACGTTTACTGGTCGGTCTCCAGGAGATGCGAGCGCGTGACGCGTCTGCCGATGTGCACGCACTTGGCATACAGAAACAAGATCGACTGGAACGATCGGTGGCAAGTGCCGATCGAAGACTTCAATCTTTCCGCCAGGATGTTACGCTTGCCTTGAGCCGCTCGACAAACACTGCCTATCTCTCTGATCTATCTCGCGTCTAACTCTCGTTAAACACGAATTACAAGCTCGCCATAAGTGTCTGAAGACAGTATATAAATTCTCAGGTTAATCGCGATTCTCGATGAAGATTGAGGGGTACCGTAAGACATAGTGTATTGATCGTATTAATGTGGACGGCTTAGAATCGTTAAAAGTAGACTATAGGATAATCGGACGTTCAGGGAAGATAATCAGTAACTTTGATGTCTCGAATTTTTATCCGAGCGCACGAGACGATTCTGATAAGCCTCTTAATCCCAGCGAGAAGTTCACATCTCCGCTGGCGCGATTTCGCTGCCATAACTTTACGGTACTTCGTGGAACTGTATAACGACATGGCTGCGGAAGATCTCCGCTAAGAAATTAATAACATATCTTCGGCAGCTATCTCGTATCGGTCAAACGGTCAAACTGCCATTACGCAATTTTTAGTTAGCGGTATGTTAGTTGCGATAGCGATTGCATTAATGATTATCGACGAGTAGGAGCACGTGCGACTTTGCGACTCAAATCGAACCAGAACGACATATTTTTATCCGGAATGGAACTCGCTTATTTTCACGAATACCACGCGATTTAGTTTAACTATTACGATTGACTTTCTTATCATTAAGTAAGATAAAATAGAAAAAAAAGAAATAACGCGCAAAGACAACACAGTATTCGTGTAAAATTAGTAAGTTCCAATGTTCATTAGTGCTGTCAATTTCGGATACCCGGATACTCGATCGGATATCATTTGAATTTATTAACTTATGGGCTTCAAGCCTATTCGGACCGAAAGAAGGCAGTCCAGATAGCAAAGAGAATTCAAAAAGAATTCAATCATATGTTACCAATTCTGAGTTCATTTTTAGGTGCAAAAAAAATTCTTTTCACTGAACTGAACTCTGAATAATTCTTTTTGGATCTGAAAATGAATTCAGAATTGGTGGCATATGACTGAATATGAATTCCTTTTGAACTCTTTTTTAATTCTCTGTGCTATCTGGGAAGGCAGTTTTATTTTGTCCATACATTTTCTACGCACGAGCAACCTGCGGTTAAGTTAATTTAATGAATACGCGAAATAATTTTATATTTCTAGCTTATTGATTTTTTAACAATAACAAATAACGAGCGAATGCATTTGAATGCATTGAATATTTGTAATTATTTGTGATCTGGTTGGCCGGATAATATCCGCGTGTATGCGTATCCGAGTATAGAAATACCTAAATTATACTGACAGCACTAATTTTCATAAGGTTATTATACGTTATCGTTTTGCAGTTAGTCGATATTGGGGATGGTTGCGGGACTAATATGCAATATTTCGATATACGCGTAAAGACTAGTATGCAATATTTCGATATACGCGTAAAGACGTTCTTATATTTATTAAGCCAACGCAAATTTCTCGCGAGCTTAAGATATCGACGAGAAAAAGCAAGTATCGTTAGCAAGATTTTTGGATTTCGATAAATGATGATTAGTTTCTCTAGAATATTCTGTAGAAATATTCACTGCGCTATATATATACCATATATATATATATATATATATATATATATATATATATATATATATATATATATATATAT